CCTACCACCAAGATTACTCTACCCAGCAAGGATCTCATTCAGATTTGACTGAGAAATTAAAACCTTTACAGACAAGCAAAAGCTAAGAGAATTCAGAACCACCAAACCAGCTTTACAACAAATGCTAAAGGAACTTCTCTAGACAGGAAACAAAAGAGAAGGAAAAGGCGTACAATAACAAACCCAAACCAATTAAGAAAATGGAAATAGGAACATACATATCCATAACTACCTTAAATGTAAATGGATTAAATGCTCCAACCAAAAGAAATAGACTGGCTCAATGGGTACAAAAACAAGATCCATATATATGCTGTCTACAAGAGGCTGACTTCAGACCAAGGGACACATACAGACTGAAAGTGAGGGGATGGAAAAAGGTATTCCATGCAAATGGAAATCACAAGAAAGCTGGAGTAGCAATTCTCATATCAGACAAAATAGACTTTAAATAAAGACCAGTAAAACAGACAAAGAAGGACACTACATAATGACCAAGTGATCAATCAAGAAGATATAACAATTGTAAATATTTATGCACCCAACATAGGAGCACCACAATACATAAGGCAAATGCTAACAGCCATAAAAGGGGAAATCGACAGTAACACAGTCATAGTAGGGGACTTTAACACCCCACTTTCACCAATGGACAGATCATCCAAAATGAAATTAAATAAGGAAACTCAAGCTTTAAATGACACATTAGACAGGACGGACCTAATTGATATTTATAGGACATTCTATCCAAAAACAACAGAATACACCTTCTCAAGTGCTCATGGAACATTCTCCAGGATAGATCATATCGTGGGTCACAAATCAAGCCTGGTAAATTTAAGAAAATTGAAATTGTATCAAGTATCTTTTCCAACCACAGCGCTGCGAGACTAGTTATCAATTACAGGAAAAATTCTGTAAAAAATACAAGCACATGGAAGCTAAACAATACGCTATTAAATAACCAAGAGATCACTGAAGAAATCAAAGGGGAAATTAAAAAATACCTAGAAACAAATGACAATGAAAACATGACGACCCAAAACCTATGGGATGCAGCGAAAGCAGTTCTAAGAGGGAAGTTTATAGCAGTACGGTCCAACCTCAAGAAAAAGAAACATCTCAATTAAACAACCTAACCTTACACCTAAAGCAATTAGAGAAAGAACACAAAAACCCCAAAGTTAGCAGAAGGAAAGAAATCAGAAAGATCAGACTAGAAATAAATGAAAAAGAAATGAAGGAAACAATGGCAATGATCAATAAAACTAAAAGCAGGTTCTTTGAGAAGATAAACAAAATTGATAAACCATTAGCCCGACTCATCAAGAAAAAGAGAGAGAAGACAAATCAATAGAATTACAAACGAAAAGGAGAAATAACAACGAGACACTGCAGAAATACAAAGGATCATGAGAGATTACTACAAGCAACTCTACGCCAATAAAATGGACAACCTGGAAGAAATGGACAAATTCTTAGAAAAGCACGACCTTCCTAGACTGAACCAGGAAGAAATAGAAAATATAAACAGACCAATCACAAGCCCTGAAATTGAGACTGTGAATAAAAATCTTCCAACAGACAAAAGCCCAGGATCAGATGGCTTCACAGGCAAATTCTCTCACACATTTAGAGAAGAGCTAACACCTGTCCTTCTCAAGCTCTTCCAAAATATAGCAGAGGTAGGAACACTCCTAAATGCATTCTACGGGGCCACCATCACCATGATGATACCAAAACCAGACAAAGATGTCTCAAAGAAAGAAAGCTACAGGCCAATATCACTGATGAACATAGATGCAAAAATCCTCAACAAAATACTAGCAAACAGAATCCAACAACACATTAAAAGGATCACACACCATGATCAAGTGGGGTTTATCACAGGAAAGCGAGGATTCTTCAATATACGCAAATCAATCAGTGTGATAAACCATATTAACAAATTGAAGGAGGAAAACCATGTTATTTTCTCTCTATGACATAAATCACAGCAAGATCCTTTTTGACCCACCTCCTAGAGAAATGGAAATTAAAAAATATAAACAAATGGGACCTAATGAAACTTAAAAGCTTTTGCACAGCAAAGGAAACCATAAACAAGATGAAAAAATAACCCTCAGAATGGGAGAAAATGTTTGCAAATGTATCAACAGACAAAGGATTAATCTCCAAAATATACAAGCAGCTCATGCAGGTCAATATCAAAAAAACAACGCAATCCAAAAATGGGCAGAAGACCTAGATAGACATTTCTCCAAAGAAGATATACAGACTGCCAACAAACACATGAAAGAATGCTCAACATCATTAATCATCAGAGAAATGCAAATCAAAATTGCAATGAGGTATCACCTCATACCAGTCAGAATGGCCATCATCAAAGAATCTACAAACAATAAATGCTGGAGAGGGTGTGGAGAAAAGGGCACCATCTTGCACTGTTGGTGGGTATGTAAATTGATACAGCCACTATGGAGAACAGTATGGAGGTTCCTTAAAAAACTAAAAATAAAACTACCATAGGAGCCAGCAATCCCACTACTGGGCATATACCCTGAGAAAACCATAATTCAAAAAGAGTCAGGTACCACAATGTTCATTGCAGCTCTGTTTACAATAACCAGGACATGGAAGCAACCTAAGTGTCCATGGACAGATGAATGGATAAAGAAGGTGTGACACGTATATACAATGGAATATTACTCAGCCATAAAAAGAAACGAAATTGAGTTATTTGTAGTGAGGTGGATGGACCTAGAGTCTGTCATACAGAGTGAAGTAAGTCAGAAAGAGAAAAACAAATACCATATGCTAACACATATATATGGATTCTAAAAAAAAAAAAATGTTCTGAAGAACCTAAAGGCGGGACAGGAATAAAGATGCAGACATAGAGAATGGACTTGAGGACACGGGGAGGGTGAAGGGTAAGCTGGGACAAAGAGAGTGGCATGGACATACATATACTACCAAATGTAAAATAGACAGCTAGTGGGAAGCAGCCACATAGCACAGGGAGATCAGCTTTGTTACCACCTAGAGGGGTGCGATAGGGAGGGTGGGAGGGAGATGCAAGAGGGTGGAGATATGGGGATATATGTATATGTATAGCTGATTCACTTTGTTATAAAGCAGAAACTAACACACCATTGTAAAGCAATTATACTCCAATAAAGATGTTAAAAAAATACTCTAGTAACCTACATGTAGCATATTCTTCATATACAAGTGTCATGTTTTTTATTAGTGTCTTTCACTATGTATACTTCATAATATTTCAGTCAAACCTGACCTAACTCAGCAGTGTTGTCACATGTATTATGACTGCTTGTAAAAGCTGTGGTACCATGGCAGAGCAAAAGCGTGAAGCAGATTTTTCAGTCCGTCAAGTGAATTGAGCCCAACTCCTTTTCCATCATTACCCTTATACCAATCAGGAGAGCGTCTGCATCCTGCTCAGGCTATGCCTCAGCTGCCACTGCATCAGGAATTACAGGAAGAGGAGGAGAAAGAAGGGAAAGCCTGAAACAGCACCCGTGACTAGGCAGGGCCTGAGGCTGTGGGACGCAGCAGATATGTAGTAATACAAAACCATCTTTTATGGCTAAAGCTGTAGGCTTTCCTGTAACTCTGGACTCTCAACATCCTCTTCAGGTTCAGAGTTATTGGTGTGTCCCTAAAGGACTGATTTTCTCTGTGCTTCTACCCACCTCGTGACTGTCTTGGTGACAAGACAAAGATAATGTATATCTTCCTTGCCCCTCTTCTGTTTATGTCCATGGTGTACTCACTGTTAGAGGTAAGGGCACACTTTACACATTTAAATGAGTGGGCGAGCACACTTTGTCCTAAAACTGATTTGATGTAAAGATGAGTTAAGGAAGAGCAAGGAGCATTTTTCTATGCCTCTTTGCTCTGTATTACCCTCTCTTTTGAGATTCACTTACTTCTTCCTTTGTTTCTTTCTGCTTTCCTATATCAAGCAGCAATTCCTATAAATATTCTTTGACCTTATTGGTAGCCTTTATGCCTGAACAGACAAAACCTATCTCAAAGTAAGTCAGTTTGTTCCAGCTGAAAATGTTAGTCTATTTGTTAAGTGCACTATGATGGAACAGATAACTTCTCATGCCTGTGGAGCAGGGATTAAATACTGCTTTTGCAATTACTATTCCTTCTGCCTGGAATAGATTTCTCTCCCCCACCTCCATCTATTCAGCAGACTCCATCCCTTATTTAAAAGACCTATGTCAAATGTAATGGCTTATTTGATGCTTTTCCCGATTCTCCCAGCAGTTAATGGCTTCTACTACAGGTTTTTTATACCTCTCTAATGGCTCATTTAAGTTTATTTTATTATTGTTTGTGTATATGTCTGTCACTATACTATGAACTTTTCAGACATAGGAACTCTATCTTCTTATTTTCTTCAGTTTTATATATGGCCAATGAATCTTTTTTGACCATTCGTTCTTTGTTGGATAAGTGTTATTCCTTGTTTTTAAGGACCTTACAATCTAGTAGGGGTGATATATCAATCACAGATAACCATAATACAAACTAGAATGCTGTCAGTGCCACAAAGAAGGAAGAAATCACTTCTTGCTGTGTGAATTAGAGACACCTAGGTTATTCTAGGCTTTGTGGATATGGTAGTATTTGAAATGAACCTTGAAGGGTGTGTGTGAAATGTGGAATTAATGGTGTAGTTTTTTTTACTTCATGATGTCCTTATTAGAAATAGTTTAAGCACACAGGAGCTATATTATTTGACGTGTATTCCAAAGCCTTAAACACTTTACCTAGAGTTAGTTCACCTGTTTTTGATTCTTCAATGATTCATCGGTGTGCTAAACTGTCTTTGTGGACTTAAATTCAGGGACTAATATTTGGCATTCGATATTTTTCATTTGTCTGAATGTTACTAACCAAAAGAGGACGTGAAATTTGATGTCTTTCTGTCCTATTGCATTGATTTTCTTTATTCATTTTAGCCACAGACCCCTTTGCTTCTGTTTTTGGAAATGAATCATTTGAAGATGGATTTGCTGACTTCAGCACATTGTCAAAGGTAATCTGCAATACTTAGTAGGAAAGTAAAATATACTGTGTTTCCACCAAAGGAGTGATCCTTCATTCTGATTTTATAACCTGACCCTCACAAGAGATTGCAACTTGATTTCAGTAAGGCACAGCAAACATTGATTTCAGACAGAAATGAAATATAAGATGTAATCAAAGTAGACATTTCTGTGCACAGAGACAATGGTGATGGTACAGATAATTATAATTTTCTACTGGCAGGTCTGCTCAACAACTTTAAGAGTCTTCTGTCTTTTTAAACATGTTTCTTCCAATTGAACTACATTTTCCCCCTGTTGACTCTCTGGGTCAATAGCTGTAAAATCTGGACATTCATTCCATCCTCTCTGTACCGGTTGCTTGATTTTTTTATATTCTGAGACTGTTAAGGTTAGTATTAAGATAATTAATAGCCCAGCACTATTAGGTAGTGGACTATATGTCCACTACCTATTTTCCAATGTAGCCCTAGGATTGATTCAGGCCAAAAGAGTAAACTTAGAGTAAATGTCACACTGTCTCTATCATCGGTTCTCAACTGGGTGTTATTCCCCCCACCCCCACCCCCCAGGAAACATTTGGCAATGTCTAGAGACATTTTCGGTTGTCACAGCTGAGGAGGAGGGCTGTTCATATCTAGTGGATAGAGACCAGGGATGTTGTGCAACACCCTGTCCAGCGCCACAACACAGAGCTATATCCAGCCCAAAATGTCAGCATGCTTCTTTAGAGAAACACTGGCCTAAACTGTAATATCTGATTCATTATAGAAAAGTGAATCTTTCATTACTCCATGTATTAGAGAGGCCAGGTCCTCAGACCCACAATAAGACTTATGCCATGGGATCAGTTTACTTAAAAAAAAAAAATTGACTTTCAGGTTGTCTTTAATGTTTTTTTAAGATGCCATTTTCTTTGACTTTAGTATTAAATCTTTCCTATATTTAAGTGCATTGGCAAGTGTGGAATCGGTATTTTTTCCTTTATCATTTGGATCAGATATTCACTTGAGGAAAAATATATTAGTCTCTTTATAAAGGGCCTCAATGGTTTTGTATCACCTGAATCTTAATAAACCTTTAATCCAGAGTTGGCTTGTTTTGGTATGATCTGTTGCTCTTAATAAGTAGTGATGTTATAATCACTACTCATATAGAACAATTAAAAATTTTTTTTCCATTTTGGTTCTGAATGCAAAGGTTAAAATGTTAGTGCTCTCAGAATTTAAATAAATAAAGCTGCATAATACTGAAGATCACTCTTCCAAATGCTCCATAACCGCGTACAGTTTGGTTGGCATAATATATATAACCATGAGTAATTTCTTTTCAAACAAAGGTCAACAATGAAGATCCTTTTAGTTCATCCACATCAAGCTCCATCAGCAATATGGTCATTACAAAAAATATGCTTGAGGAAACATCCATCAAAACTGAAGATGTACCCCCAGCACTGCCACCAAAGATTGGAACTCCAACAAGACCCTGCCCACCACCACCTGGTATGAGAGTTGATACCTTTCCTAAATCAACTACTTCCTTTTTCTTTCTGAAAAGTATTGTGTGGGCCTTATTTGTAGACTTTATATAAAGGGCCTTAAACAAAACAAGTTAAAAACACAGCAGAAGCCTGCTGCTATCATCTCTTCTGACCTTAATGCAGAATTACAGATATGTGCCTAAGAAGCCAGCCTGTGTAACTGTCATGAACTATTTTTCTAGCAAGAACTAATTTCTCTTTAAATCATTTTAGAGAGGCAATAAATGAAAAAAGGAAAGTACCAACGAAATCTCTTACTTTTTGGAAGCTCATTGATTACCATTGAACAACAGTTTCCTGCGCTTTGGTATTTTAATAAATTTCTATAAGCAAAGATTAATTCGAAGTCCCTTTCTTTTTCCTGCTAAATGTGAAGTCTTCCTTAAGTCCTTTAATGTGAGAATATATGGCCTCTTTGGTGTCCAGAATTCACCTTTTCGGTATCAGAATTTTAAAAGAAAGTATTGTTTTTCTTGAAGGAAAATATTATTTTACTTGACTTGATAAGAGACTCCTTTATTTTATAAAAGTGATGTTTTTGGTCTAGAAACAAATTCTTACTATTCTTATTTTTTTTGTTTTGTTTAGCACTGTAAAGAAAAAGGGGTTTTGTTTGTTTGTTTGTTTTTAATGAAGATAATAAAGTTCATGAGAAGTGGTAAAGGCAATCCCCTGAATAGTTGTAGTGCTACTTGGAAGAAGACACATCTGGTACATTATTGTTTTAACCATATATCATTCCGTGGTAAATTTTCAGCCTCAGTAGTTCTAGAATATTATTCTTGCTTTTTCATAATAGCCTCCCTATGGCAGATTTTTTTTTCTTCTTTGATTTAAAGAATTGCAAATAAAATTGTTAATACCCAGCTACCTGTTGAAAAATCAGGTGAACTGAACTGAACTCCTTTTATCTTTTAAGGAAAAGTAGGCTGTATCATATATCACTAGAGAGTAAGGTTGTCAGAATACATTTTTAAAAAATGATAGTTAATTTGCTCATTTAAGTTTTATACCAGTAAGGTGCCAATAGGGAAGTTATTTTTAAAATCCTAAGTAAACTAATATACTAGTGCTGTAACTAAATCTAAGACTTCAGCAAAGTGAGTATATATCACTGTAGAAAAATCAAGGAAAGAAAGATGGTTTGTTGAACTGCAGCTTAAAGATCTGGGTTCTAATTCTGGATATTCTCTGACTAGCTCTGTGATCTTGAGTGTGTAACTTCATATGTCTGAACCTCAGCTATCTGAGCTATTAGATGGTGGCATTAATTCTGATGTTGCCTACCTTCACAGGATTGTGGAAGGATCCTTTGAGATATGAGATGTGAACACCTTTTGTAAGCTGCTACAGTGCCAGAAAGAATCTGTTGTTATGATTGCTCTTACCAGCTTAACACATCTTTAGGAAAATATATATATTTGAAGATATTTTAGCACCTGTTCTTATTATCCTTTCTTCAGGAAGTACTGAGTTTAAGTCTTTAAAATTAGAAAACTTGTTTGAAAATGGTGCTGAATTAATGAGCAACAGTATGCTGTTTGGTAAAGATTTAGTTGATCAGCACCCACAAAGATTTAGGGCCTGGGCTTCAAAGCATTCTCTTTATTCTTCAGTTTGAAATTTTGTAATAGCAAGAAATAGGTGGGCTTTACCAAGGTAGTTTTTAATTTCATGCTCCCAGGTGTTACATATAGATCCAGAGGAAAATCAGAAGAATATTAGCATTTTTCAAAGCTCATTTGCCCTTCCTGCCACTAGTGGTTAACTGTATCAGGCAGAGGTTATCACAGCAGAGGCCGTTTTTGTCATTATTCTTTGTCATTCTCCTGCCGTTTTGTCCATTCCTCTCTCTTTTCTTGGGAACATGCTGCTTTGGAGAAGAGAAGGTCAACTCTCTGGGCAGATAAGATTCCCGGCCCATTGCCCCCCTTCTTTGCTATTTTTCCATTTAGCTACATAGAGCTAGAATATATTTGAGAGGTTGTGTGTGGAAATTTGAGGACAGAGTGTTGGTTGTGATAGTTTAAGACCATATTAAGAATGTGTTTGAGGTACTGACCCCCATTCCCCACCCCCAGCTCTTTAATGCTCCCTGTGTTCATGTTCTTGTGTGTTTATGTTTGCCGTATTTGCTGGTTGAATTAATTGTAATGATTTTGATCCAGGGAAAAGACCCATCAACAAATTGGATTCTTCTGATCCCTTTAAACTGAATGATCCATTTCAGCCTTTCCCAGGCAATGATAGCCCCAAAGAAAAAGATCCTGATATGTTTTGTGATCCATTCACTTCTTCTTCTTCTGCTACTACCACTACCAGTAAAGAGGCTGACCCAAGCAATTTTGCTAACTTCAGTGCTGTAAGTACTGTGAATGGGCTGTTTTGGGGAAAATCTTTCCATTTACAGTTTAAAGAGTTTTCAAAGATTATTTTGGAGTCTGCCAAATTTGCATTATTTCAACTAAATTTACCAATATGTTAAAAATGATCTTTATTCTTCCCCCAACCAAAAAATCTCTGTTTGATTCTGTTTGCTGGTTCTAAAAGTATTTCATTGCTCAAATGATTTTTGTAGTCTTAATTCTTGGGTTATATACCAGTTGTTTTGCAAAACCCTTCTCTTGATCTTGGTAAACAATATAAATAAAATTCTGACAGTTATTATTTTGCAAATTGTTATGGATGATGGGCCATTAGAGAGTCATTTGCTGTCTGCCCTCTGGATGAATAATGCCAATAATGAGTTTGTGTATTTGTAACTGTGTTTATGTGTTTGCGTATAAAGCCTTCATGATTTCTGGAGACCAGTCAACAATTATGAGAGGATAGGGCCAGGAATTCTTTGAATTGAAAATAAAACTCTGGTTTCATATAATAGTGTTCCTAAAAAGTAAATGTTGGTTTTATTAAATAAATATGATTGTTAAGAGCTAAACAATCTTTAATTATTTGGGGGGCTCTAATTCACTAGCATTCCATATTTACTCTGCATCCTCCCAGAGCTGACTAACATAGGCAGGCCAGTAAAGACAATAGAAGAGTTCTGTGACAAGACCATAGGCAGGGTCTATAAGATCACAGAAATGGGACAACCAACTTGAAGTGTCACTCTGGAGGGACGGACATTAAGCAATGACATGTATTCCATCATTATTTAGATAAAAACAAGGCTTTTTTTTTTTTTTTTTTTAATAGAGTAACTAACAGTGTTTCATTTTCCCAGATGTTTTTTCAGGGAAAATGACCATCATTATCGCTGTCTATTTTATAACAAAGCAATTTTCCTCTACTTAATACCTTAAGCACTTGAGATGATTTTAGAAATAAGAGATCTAGTGGCCAGGTGACTCTGACCACAATCTGCCTTATGTCTCCCTCAGTGTAGCATTGAGTCCCTCAACCCGTCACTTTATCCCTGCAGCCATTTCTAGTTAAGAAAGGAGTTAGGCAGGAATCTGTATGCAACTAAGGCAGACAGAATTAGTCTCAGCTACCCAGCTTTTGAATCTGTACTCTTAAGTTTCAGTGGCTTCCTCTGAATGTAAAGGAGCAGAATAGGAATCAGTATTTTGAATACTGGAAAACAGAGAGTGTCAGAACTATCCTGCCTTTTATTAGATGGAATTTGAGTTGTTTCAAGCAGAGAATCCAGAATTGCTCTTCTTAGTATAATCCTCTTAATATAAAATAAACTTCTGGCAGTTTGTGGCATTTAATACCTTAAATATGATTTCAGCTAGTCAAAACCTGGTTGGAATGAGTCTTGAACAATAGCTAAGGCATTTTGCTTATTTCATATTCCAGAATCTCAGTATAGTATAATATTAAGCAGCTCATAATAAAAATGTCATCTTTTTTTAATTATGAAAGATTTGTTAAATATTATAAGTTTCAAAGGCCCTCTAATTCCCTAGGGAAAAAGCTACCATTTTCAAAAAGCCTGACAGTTTCTTTCACTTCATCCTATTATGGTATTCATCTTGTTATGGTATTCCTCTGTATGATAGGACTTGAAACCGGGTAGAATTTTTTTATTTAGTATCTGCTATGGTTGTTCTTTCAGGTGGATAAGTGTATTTCCTTGACTTAATAATTACCAGCATTAAGGTGTTATTTAGACTAGGTCAAAAAGTTCTCAATGTCTACTGAATTCTTTATAATGCATTAAAAAAAATTGATCAGGTTCACATCTTATTTAGTATATCCAGTACTCTTATTTTATGTATAACAAAATTTATGTATGTATAGATATTCTTTGCTTCGTAACTTTTCTGTACCTGAAGGGCTAGGATAAGGAAGGAAATCACCAGTGAGATTAAGTTGAAAATGATTTATCATGTGAGGATACTCACTGAAGTTGAAGTAGTAAATGTTTCACATTAGATAAATATGCTATAGCCCTCTCCTGTTTTTAAATCTCCTGATTCACCTTAAGAATTTCCACTTTGGGGCTTCCCTGGTGGCACAGTGGTTGAGAGTCCTCCTGCCGATGCAGGGGACACAGGTTCGTGCCCTGGTCCGGGAAGATCCCACATGCCACGGAGCGGCTGGGCCTGTGAGCCGTGACCACTGAGCCTGTGTGTCCGGAGCCTGTGCTCCACAATGGGAGAGGCCACAACAGTGAGAGGCCCGCATACTGCAAAAAAAAAAAAAAAAAAGAATTTCCACTTTTTAAAAAATGATGTTTTAATGTTCAGTTTTATAGACTGTAGACTGCATTAATTTTTAAGATTAAATCATATTTTAATAACTGATTAACTGTGTTTTCAGAAAAAAATTAACAATTAACAGGACTATTTACAGAGTCCTTCAGAAGGTGAAACAAATAGTTAAATATCATTTCGTAAAAGTTCTTTTTCCTTCTTGTGTTTGTTCTGCTCATGAATTTATTCGTTTGTTCATTTGTCTTTTAAATGGCAGTATCCCTCTGAAGAAGATATGATTGAGTGGGCCAAGAGGGAAAGTGAGAGAGAGGAAGAGCAGAGGCTTGCCCGACTGAATCAGCAAGAGCAAGAAGACTTAGAACTGGCTATTGCACTCAGCAAATCTGAAATATCAGAAGCATGAAGAATTTTCCTGTTCTTTGTCAATCACACAATACTCTTCTTCCTGAATACTGAAGCTATTTACAGTGTGTATCAAAACTACCTATGAGCATGGGAATACAAAAGGTTTGAGATTCCTGTAAATGTGACAAAAGTTTTTGTTTTTTTTAAACTCCATTTCAGATTGTCCTTTTTTTCCCCCTGTAAAAGCGGTAACCCAGATAACTTCACCTAGGCCCCCGTTTTGGTGTGCATTTAGTGTGAGCTTTTGCCTGCCTGTGCTACTTTTACTTGGAAAGCTAGAGCACCCAAGCTTCTGCCTTCTGGAATATAGAGAAATAGTATCATCCCTTTGCTACCCTTGTTCTGTAGTTACTCTGATGATAGCCAGTGGGGTTCTTAAAGTTGGCAGTATTCTCCCCTAATTTAAATGGTTGAAAGAGGGGAAGGGAAAGAACATCCTATTTCATCTATGATAGAGCAAATTGGCTAGTTTAAAGTACATGTTTGTATTTCCTTATAATCAAAATACTGTTCAATTTGTTTTTTATAGACAAGAAAAAATATTTTGCATAAATTGACTCCACTATCGAAAAAGGGATGCTTTAGATTGAACCATTATAGCTTCAGACTCAATCTTTTCCTAAATAAAAACTTTAAAGCCTCATGTTTGAAATATATTTAAAATTTTCTTCTCTGGACTTAGGGAATTTTAGATAAACACATACCTCTCCATAATTTTAAGCACTAGAGAGTGGAGAAAAATTACCACTTAAAATATACCCATCAATATAAGGTAAGCAAAAATCTTAACCTGGCAGCCATTCTGCCACTGCCATGGCACTGTCCTCTTTAGTTCATGGTAGGTTTATTTTTCTACTTTTGCAGAAGAAACTTTAGCAAGCTAGAACTGGAAGGTACTTTAACTTTTTGTATACATATATATATTTTTTTCTTTAATGAAGGTTCAGTTACTTGAAATGTAAAAACATTCACTGAATACAACTGAAAAAAGTGACATGTATTAAATCATATTATTGCTTTTTGTCCATTTTTGTGGATTAAAATAGTTTATTCTCTTTGTGTTTTTCACCTACAAAATTGGCAGGCTAGCAAAAAAATTTTGTGTTTTTTAATTGGGAGAGAAGAGACCTGCCAAATTATCGAAGCTCTTTATGTGTTAAAAGCCTATCTCCTGTAAAATTGACCTAGCAGACAAGCTGAATTTAAAATGGACTGTGAAGTAGGCTGTAAATTGTAATCTTAATTTTTTTTAAAATGAGTCAGTGATTTAGATAATGTATTGAAAACCAAGATAAAGGAAAATGCACCTAAAAACTAATTAAATATCTCTGTGGTTACCAAGTCAAGGTGGTATTGATCTGTGTTAATCAGAGTAACTTGTTGCCTAGCCTATGAATAAATTCCAAAATATCCAGTTCATTTCATCTTTAAATGGTGCTTTTTTTCTCTTCCACACACAATTGAATCGCTGCAGTTTAAAACAAATTTGAACCACTTTCTTGCACTGCTAGCTTTTTTCTACTTTTATAGATTAAAACATTTCAGCATAAAAGTCATACATATGAAGCAAGGGCTGAATCATAATCACAGGGGTTTAATTTTGATAAACCAATCCAGTTATAAGGATATACTGCAAAAGTTGATTGAGAAAGTAGTATTGGGAGTTGTGAATGGTAGTGAGTTTTGGGTTTTTTTCTTCCCCTTACACTTTAGGAAAAAGGTAAGTTGACTTGAACAACCTTCTTTTGCACTGGGAAAATGAACAGATGTTTGAAATGGTTTTAAAATATTTTTTTTAATTAAAAGAACACTCTGGAAAGTACTAAATATTTATAACTTATAGACACCAACTTTCGATGTAATAAGTATACCTTAATCTTACGTGTGTTTAACTGGATTACATAGATTCTTATCTTTTATTAAAATATGTATACTCAGTGGACCAATATAATATATTAAAGTATGTATTTTTTATATATATATATATATATATATATATATATACATATATATATAAATCTCCATGCTCACTTGTGTAGGATGAATGTCTTAGAGTCATTTATGATTATATTTTATGCTGTTGACTCTGGCTCCAGAGCCTGTGCTTGAAAAGGACAGATAAGTATTCCTGAGAGCTAAGTGGCACTACTTATGAAGTTTTAACCATCTTCTACCTACTTGTTCAGGTTTATTTGAGTTCTCTTTATAGAATTTTCTCTTATGTTTCAAACTTCTAAACTGTAGCCTGTAATTATGAGAACAATAAACTTTAAATTATAATAAACCATACTATCCATACATCCTATCTGAAATGGAGTTTTGCATGATTCTCTGTTATGTCCATGCTGTGTCTAAGGAGGGGTAGGCATACAATCAGCACAGATTAATATGTGTAAACTGCTTGAGACAGTACCTGGTATAGAATAAAATACTCAATAAATGTTAACTATTTTTTAGTTGACATGTCCTGTTTTTTTGAAAGAAAGATAGGAAACAGGTATGCATAGAAACAGTGCCTGAAACGTGGGTGGTGTGTATCTGTTTGTTGAATGAGTATTTGTGACATGGACTCTAGGAGGGCACTGTGGTGTGAAAAATTCAGACAACGCTGGTCTGCCATTTTTAGGAAAGATGACTTTGACAAAGTTACTTAGCCTCCCTGAGCCTCATTTTCTTCTAATGAACATCATAATACCCAACTCACAGGATTGTTCTGAATGATTTGAGTTTAACAACTTTTTAATATTATTTATTTTATCAAACAAATGCAGCCATGTTATTATTAATAGTGAAAATAGCTATTGGTTATTGAATGCACTATACTAAGCACTTTATGTGTGTCTTCTTGTTTAATCTTCACAGAAGCCCTAAGTAGTACTATTATTATCGCCTGTTTTAGAAATAGGAAAAATGAGGCTCAAAAAAGTTAAAATAGGGCTTCCCTGGTGGCGCAGTGGTTGGGAGTCCGCCTGCCGATGCAGGGGACACGGGTTCGTGCCCCAGTCTGGGAAGATCCCACGTGCCGTGGAGCGGCTGGGCCCGTGAGCCATGGCCGCTGAGCCTGCGCATCCAGAGCCTGTGCTCTGCAACGGAAGAGGCCACAACAGTGAGAGGCCCGCGTACCGCAAAAAAAATAACAACAAAAAAAAAGTCAAAATAATATGCTTCAGATAATACTGCTAATAAGTAGATGAGCCAGGAATTGAACTCTGGTCTCTCTGATTCTAAAACATGATACTCTTTCCAGTTGACCGTGCTTTGTCTCCTTTTCTGTGAAAAAAATATTGCCTATAGGAAATGCTAGGAATAGGGCATGATAAATAATAACAGATAACATATATTGAGCTTCAGGCAGAATCCTTAGTGCTTTACGTATATTATTTCATTTCATCCTTAGAAAAGTAACCCTGTAATGTATAGGTACTATTTTTGTCTCCATTTCACAGAGGAGGTGCCCTGATTAGGACACAGTTATGTAGCTAGTAAGTGACAGAGCTGGAATTTGAACCCAGAAGACTGGCTCTACCGTTTTGACCACTGCTCTCTATTCCTGTTAAAGGTGAGAAGCCAGAGGAGAACTGTCATAAATAGAATAATCCATGTAATCTCTGCTCTTGAGGATTAATGAAATAAACCTACTACATAGCACATGGCATCTTATAAAACATTTCCTAATTCATTTTCATATTTAATCTTTACTGGGATTTAGAACAGTTTTTGACACATGAAAGCACTCAACCATTGTAAGTTACCAATATTATGATAAATGATAAATCAGAACATAGGGGAGATAGCCAACCTTTCTTTTATTAAAGAAATACAACTTTTAAAACCACAAAAGCTGGCAAAAACAAAAAGTAATTTATTAGTGCTGGCAAAGCTCTGGAAAGAATACATTAAAAGGTAGGCAAAGAGTAGATTTTGGAGAGTTTGCCACACAGATGGAGGGATGGCATTCTAGGCAGAGGCCATGGTTGTATAAAGAAAAAGTGGTAGCACACGACATAGTGTACTAGCAAACAGCAAATATCGAAGTAGTTCAGTGTAACTAGAGTCGATTTGTGGGCAAAAGAGTGAAGTATTTGTGTTTGTGTGTAAGAAAGGTCTCACTGGTAGTGATTTGGTGGAGTGCCTTAGAAGGAAACCAGGTAAGGCAGGGAGAGCAGGTGAAGGCTGATGGAGTCATTCAGGTGAGATGGTAGGTACCTAAAATATGGCTGTGGCTGAGGCCCGAGAAAAGGGGGTTGATTTAAGAGAATTATCAAGCCTTAGAGTCTGATTAGATATGGGTGGTGAGGGGAAGGGAGTGGTTGCAAACTTCAGCCAGCATCAGGATCACCTTGAGGGCTTGTTAAAGTACAGATTGTGGACCCCATCCCCAAAGTTTGTGATTTCAGTAGGTCTAGAGTGGGACCTAAGAATCTGAATTTCTGACAAGTTCCCAGATAATGCTGAAGTTGCTGGCCCAGGGACCTTGCTTTGAGAACCACTAGAATAGGGACTGACTTCCAGGTCTCTGTTCTCCTGCACGTCTTATTAGATGTACTCATTTGTTTGCAGTGTTGTTGCACCTTGTCATTCTGTACTTGACCTGTCGCTTCTGCTTCTAATCTTTCTTGTGGATAAAGAGAGTTTTTAAAAATAATAATTGCAAGCTAACAGCACTTACTATGTGCCAGTACTATTTGAAACACTTTAATATACGGTCCCCAACTTAATGATGGTTTGACTTATGATTTTTTTACTTTATGATGGTGCAAAAGTAATGCATATTCAGTAGGAAACATACCTTGACTTTTGAATTTTGCTCTTTTCCCAGGCCAGCAATGTGCTGTACAATCCTCTCTCATGATGCTGGGCAGCGGCCGCAGCTCCCAGTCAGCTGCACGATCACAAGGGTGAACATCCAGTACACTTACAGCCACCCAGTACCCAGACAACTGTTCTGTTTTTCACTTTTACTACAATATTCAGTAAGTTACATGAGATAGTCAACACGTTATTATAAAATAGGCTTTGCATTAGGTGATTTTGCCCACCTGTAGGTTAATGTTA